TGCAGTGGCTGAAGATAACCAGCAGCCAGCAGAACATAGGATACACATTAATAGAGGTGCATTAATACACTGGTGCTATATACCCGAAATTGCTTTAAGGTAATTTTATTGGTTACATTTTAAAATATGTATATTACTTTTTAAAATAAATTCATAATTGCAAACATTGGTGCTTTTAATTCCTGCCGTGAGTTCAGTGTTAACTCTCCCTTGCCTTTAGCCACAGGGCCATATTATTCTGCAATGGATAACAAGTGCTAAGGGTAGAAGAGAGGAATGAAACATTAAAAATGTAAACATATTACAATGTGAAAATCCAAAAAAATATATTTATTTCAATATCATTAGGGCACTAATAAGATAAGTTGCAGCTTTTCTTAACTTTCTTCAAATCATACTTTATTGCCCCAGAAAAACTGAGAGCTCGGAAATTACACAATTTCCTTACAATATCAACATCTACTACTAAAAATTGTTTTCCACAATCACTGCAACCTCATAACATTTAGAACATACCAGTAACTAGTGTCCCTGTGATTGTCTCAGTGGGTCTATTTTACAGCCATATGCATTTGGGTGCATGGGTACTAAGACCAAACCTTCAACATTGTCAGCAACCTCTTTTGAAATATATTCATATTTCAGTGGATAAAATTCTTTATGCATATTTTACAGATAAGGATTTACTAAAGGTGTAGAGCATGTTCACTTTGGAAAGAGAATGTTCACTTAGCTAAGTGAATCAGGTGTAGCTGTGTTGATTTTAATCATCCAATCAAGTGAGCAAAAATCTTTTTTTAACTTTCCTTGTGCGTGCTGGGCACTATTTGTAAAGTTAATGTTCACTTAGCTTCACCTCATTCTCTAAGCTAAGGCAATAAGAACATCCTTTACATCTTCAGTAAATCAACCCCAATGGCTGTTATCCCAATCTTACCTTCTGTGAAATACTGTCTGGCAGCAGTCTCTGAAAATATTGTAGACACCATCATGTATTTTTTTTTTGCCATGCTGTCTCATAAATCAGTTTTTGCATAGTTTTATTCATTTCTTCTTGCTATCTGTCACAGGATCAAATCATGTCAGGGATCAGAATTGATATGAGCTAGCTGCTAAGAAAATATGCTTTCCACTACACACTACTAAAAAGTGTGGTGTCTAACATTAAAAATATATATTACATTCTTCCCAGTTATTAAAATTGGGAAACAAAACAGTAAGCATTTGCCTTAATACCATGTGAGAGGCCACAGTGGGACTTGTGTGTGATTTTAAACTGACACGTTTGTGCAGCTAGGCATTTGTAAGCAAATGTTAACTAATTATACAGAATTGTCCTACAGAAAGCTCACACTTCAGGTTTGCATTCACAAGCATGGTTGCCCCAGCTTGGCGATGATTCTTGTGCACCCAAAGGACTCACCAAGATATGTCAATGTCAGCAATGCAAAACACTTTGGTTCTTTTGTTCCATGATACACTGAACTTTCCAGGACTCTCTGCTTGGGAACCAATCTTTCTTTTCACCTAAGTCTTCTTTGTTAAATAAAGTCAGTTGAGTCAGATGTGGGGCTCTCATATATACTGTAGATAACACATACTATCTACATTAAATCTATTTACCTATTTACCCCATAGTTTATTCTATTTACCCCATAGTTTCTAGTGTATGTCCCAGTCATAAGTCTGGCGTTGATTTATTTGCCCAGTTGAATTTCTTGCTGAAATCTAACCACCTGTTTCCAGGACCTCTGCCTCAAATTCTGGGCCTCACTAGTTGCCATGTGGCAAAACCTATGTGACTGGATTGCCTTACATTTTCTTCTATCCATTTTCAAGCCGAGAGAACTTAACTTGCACATGAGCTATCTGTAAGGAAGCATGTCAAACGCTTAAGCAAAGTCTAACTATCATACACCCACAGCCTCCCGATTGTCTAACTTGCTGCCCACATCATCATAAAAGGAAAAGTAGATCTGTTTGGCTGCTTCCTAAATCCAAATGATATAATCCAAATAGTATATTGTTTTCTAGTAGATACTGTTTTATGTGGTCCTTTACCAGTCCCTCAAATATCTTCTTTACTATAGTTAGGGTTTAGACAGGAGTTGGCCTTTAAACCTACTCATCTGTAGTTACTAGATGAGACCCTTCTTTAAAATTAAGGTAGTGATTACAAACATATGTAAAATGCTGTTTCTTACAAGCATTGATGCTTTTACTGTTCACGTTTATGGACGTAAGGGACAAGGTTAGAGGTTACAGTAGGTTAGTTCAAGGATAAAGTGCCAGATGGCCAAGAGTTAGGGTTAAGGTTAAAATAATGGTTTAATTCTACCACATCACCAAGAAATCTCTGTCAATACACCTGCTAAATGCAGCCAAAACCGTGATCCCTAGACACTGGAAGGCGACACATCCACCAACTATGAGAGAGAGTGGCTAACTCGAGTAGACAGAGACACCATGGGGTCTATTCACAAAAGGGAGAAGAGTTTGGAGAAGGCAGGAGAAGGGAACAATCCAGGACAACATAGTTGAACTGGAAAGTGAGCTGAATTGGAGAATTTTTCCAAATCGGCTATTTTGTCCTAGATTGTTCACTTCTCCTGCCTTCTCCAAACTCTTCACCCTTTAGTGAATAGACCTGCATGCCTCAGTACCTGAAAACAGTACCTGAAAACTCTATTTAAGGGCACGGACTCATACGATACCCTTACTCAGTAATAACTGGCTCTCTCACCCCTGAGGCCCCGCCCTCTCTCTGCCTACTTCCGTTGCCCCCTCTGCCCCTGCCCCTCTCTCATTCGCCTTCACTGTATTTCCAGTTACAAAGGAAGCGGGTGGGAATGAATGTATGAATGTCTTTCTCTTTCTGTCCGCCTCTACAGTCTAACCTTCTCTGACTCTCTCTCCTTTACTCCCTAACTGTCTTCTGTCCTTCCTGCCTTCTTTCCTCTCTGATTCCTCCATCTCCCCAACTCCCTAAGAGCCCTGAATACAATCACTCTTTATCTCCGCCTCCATATTGGGTTCTCTTCCTAAAATAAGCCGTGATACCCGTACACAGCAAAGGGCATTTCTCTTAGTCTTCAGCTCAGGCACCAGTCGATATCACCCGTAGCCCTGAGCCCACCCACTCCAAGGGATGTTGATGCAATTTTTTAGCAACCCTCGGGCCTACAAACCTTATACATCCCACTTTCGCCTCCCAAGGATGCACATTGGGAATCTGTCGGCTGTGCACTGTGCACAGGGTAATGTTTTATCAGGTACATCGAGGCTTGATCCCTAGACCTCCCCCACCCCCACTTATGGTATTGAATATACTTTATGTAAGTTACAATATTTCTTTGTACTTGGTTATTACATGAATGTTTGATATTTCTTATCACAATAAAAAAAAATACTTGTGAAAAAAAAAAAAAATGGTTTAAGCTGAACTCCAGGTAAACAGCAAAATACATATACAGATACATATATGGGAGCTGTCTTACCTGCATTTACACTGCTTTACTAGATAGCAACATTTGATTTTACTTTGTTTTTACTGCAGTTACTGTGGTTTTAACACTATAAAGAGTGGTCAAGTCATAAAAGGCTGTTTGCCCCTGATTCATTAAGCTACAATAACACATACTGTAGATCAAAATTGTAATTTCAGGCATTATCTGCATGCAAATTGTCCTTTTAACAATTTTAACATACTACCTTCTGTACAAAGTAACTGACTGTTTTACTATGTCATTTGTCTCTTCTGATAATGTAGTAGAATAATTATTTTCCTTACAACCTTCCAGCACAGTATACCCGCTGGCCCCTGTTCTTTTCCGTATTGTGGCTGGCTGTATTATTGCACTTCAATTTTATAGTTCTCCAAAATGGTGTCCAAAATGTGACTGATGCTGTCCAGAAATATAGCAAAGTAAATCTGAATGTTATTTAATATTGAAAATCATGGCTGTTACTGATCATTGTCTCAATTATTCAGCCTTTGAACGAGGACACTGCTACGAACCCTACATTCAGAATGGAAACTTCACTACAACAGATCCAACTTACAGCATGGGGACTGTGGTAGAGTTTACATGTGATCCCGGGCACTCTCTGGAACAAGGACCATCCATTATAGAGTGTATCAATATGAAGGATCCTTACTGGAATGATACAGAACCTCTTTGCAGAGGTAAGATAGCTACTTTGTTTCTAGGATTAAGTTGCAAGCTGTAAGTTTAGGTATTTTACAAAAGCCACAAGCTTGGCATAACACACTGAATAGTGTCTATTTGCTGTAGGATACTGCACGTAGGATTCAGAGAACCCCTACTTTTGTATATGTCCTCTGTCTAGTGGGTAGCCATAAGTAAAGTTATTGTATTATTTCTGCTAATTACCACTTTATGGTTTTAGAATCACTGAGATGGGAATTTTGTAGCTTCTTAGCACATATAGTTGTACCATGAGTAAGGATAAAGAAATATGACATTCAAATGTATCTCTGGTATGTGCTTTACATCTTCTGACAGTTAAACTTACTTAGCTAATGTTAACCTGTTACAAATCTAGGTAACTCAAACTAAGCATATGCATAATCTAGAGATATGGGCAGCTGAAGTTGTATGAGAATCTCAAAATCAACTTTACCCATCAACTTTACCCATCCCTTTCCTCCCTTTCCTCTCCTGAGGTTCCTTTTCGGTCTGCAGCTTCAACAGGGAAGCTCAAGAGGTGGGAGCGGTCAGGACTAAGCTCAACCTTTACAGTCAGGATGTGCATATAACCTAAACGTTAACATTTAACTTAAAGCAGGTGTAAACACCAATTACATGGCATTTAGTTTGCTAAAGCACAATACATCATAAACAATATTTTTTTTTTAAATGAAATACTTCACAGTTAGGAAAGAGGAACACAGCATTGACACCTAAACACGTACCTTCATGGTAGTATCACCAGCTATTTATTTTAATCTAAAATATTGAAAATTACTTTTGAAATGATACATGTTAAAGCTTATATGAGATTTTAGATTGGTTTGACATACACTTTCATCTTTCTATATCTTGGATTATCATATAATCAGTTTGAAATACCCAGATCTGTGACAGATTTATTTTAACAAAGTGTTTGTCAGACCTGTCCTTGAATTCCATCACAACAGTGTATTCTTTGAAGGCATCATTAAATAAAAACAGTTATAAGAGTCTTAGTAACAGTAAATGCTACCTTCATGGATATCCACAAAACAAGACCTAATCATAGAACTTGAGGACAAGTTTGTGAAAACAGTTACAAATACAATGTAGTACTTCTGCTGGTTTAAACTGTAATTCATAGTATGCCATAAGACGGATCTTAGTAGGTGTAGAGCTAGTTATATTTTCTTATTTATGTATATTTTGTCCTGGGAAGAAAAACTCCTTATCAAATATACTAATAATTCATAGTCCTCCAATTATGGAGATACCCAGGACAAAAAACAACATATATTCAAAATATCCTTTTATTTCAGTAATTAATTAGACATAACTTTGTCTAATTAATTATTGAAATAAAAGGATAATTTAAATATATATTTATTCTTTCCTCTGTATCTCCATAATTAGAGGGCTATAAATTATTAGTATAAACTGTCATTTCTCTTTAAATAAGCCCATGAGGTTTCAATGTTTGGGCTGTACATTGTCTATCCTTCATCATCCTTAGAAACCCTTTTGGGGATTTGATTATTTTCTTTTAAATTCTTCTAGCAATGTGTGGTGGAGAGCTCTCCACTCCAGCTGGGGTTATTCTCTCACCAAACTGGCCTGATCTGTACACAGAGGGAGAAGACTGTATATGGAGAATCCATGTGGGAGATGATCGAAGAATATTTCTTGATATACAGCTGTGAGTATTGCCAAGAACATTTTGGGGCACATTCAATGAGTATTCAACTAGTGTTCTATAATGAAGTTATCATATGTGAATACCAGGGACATTTTGTAATTATGCTATCATTTGTTAACATTTGCTAATTGATTATACAGTACTTTATGTGGTAATATCATTTCTCAAAAGCAACTGCAGTGAAAGACCATCCATGTCTGATATCTCCCGTTGTATCCATGTTATCTTTCATCAGCGATTATTTTCCTCCCTAGAATGTTCTATTGCCATTCACTTTCATTGGATATTTTTTGAGTATTCATTACATGTTTGTTGAATCGTTCCAAAAATGCCCCATCTATACTCAGCTTGCAGCTTTTCTGGATTAATCTCCACTGACAGCAGTTGGCTAGTCACCCTTATTTCAAAGGTTATGTTCTGCAGCCATTTGTAATGTGCGTTCGTTCTCAGCCCAGCAAAAAAACTAATGAGATTTCTTCATCTCAGCCTGTAGTGTAACCATCCATGCCCCAAAACCTCATAAGTTTCCACAATAATTATTTTTAATTTCACTTATCAGCAGATGTTCTAAATACTGCCTCTGGCTCAAGATAGCATGGAAATAAGAGGAGTCTCACTTCGTAGTTTAGCTTCTATGATAATGAATTATTTATAAATCACGTGGTCAATACAATTTTAGATTATGAAAGCCAGACTACAAAACAATTCTAAAAAGCACTTATGATAGACATACAGTATATTCATATCAAATAGAAGCAAGTAACATTTAAATAAATTCCATTAAATGATGTGTATGTCTCATTGTGGTTTACACGCTGAAGGAGTTGAGAATTTTACAAAGTGAATGCTCAGTTTGATAAATTAATATTCACTCAGTTTAGTGGATCAGGTGAAATTACTGTGTTTACTTCAGTCATCCAATCATGTGCAATTAAAAGCACTTTTTTTTATTTTCCGTGAATATAATTTGAGATAATGTGGTTGGTTTACTAAAAGCAAATAGGCTGTTCACTTTTCAAGGGAATTATTATGTTGCAAGGGAATTTTCCCTTATATTCCCTTATCTTAGTAAATGAGGTAAAAATTTACTGTACAAAGAATACCCTATCACGTGCAAGGATAATTTAAAAAAAACTATATTTTTGCTTGGATGATGAAGTCACCTCATTCACTAAGCTAAGGGAAAATTCCCTTGCAAGGTGAACAGCCTATTTACGTTTAGTAAATCAACCCCGAAGAGCAGACATAGTTTTAGGGCTAGTTCACTCCAGCAGACGCGCCCAACCACATGGCTGCTGGTGCGCTTGTGCCCGGACAGTGCCGATGTGCTCAATCGAGCCGCATCACACTGGTTCTTTTTTTTGTTAGAACTTTATTGAAATGTCCCAAGTGACATTTCATTAAGTTCTATGGGCTCACCACGGAGCGATGCGGTTGTGCCGCATCTCACTGCAGTTTGCCTTAAAAAAGTACAGCATGCCACAGTTCTTTTTAAGTGCACGCCATCAGAATGCAGTGGTGTGATCTGTCAACAACCATGACAAGGCAAGTTGCCTTGTCTTGCATTCAGGCTGCACGGGAAAAACAGCCAGCACAGCCCAAATGCATATGGTGTAAACGAGCCCTAACTGTAAGTAATGTGAACATTCAATATGCAGAGTGAACATTCTCTGCTGCAAAATGTATGTACAATGATTACTACTGCAGCAATAATCATATGGGAGAGTGATTGTTATTGTGGAACTGTATTTTTGTACTAATGCAGTGCTCGCAAACAGATTATTTATTGATTGGTATCCTATAGGGATAGCAACAGCGAAATTTGTATTGGTAGCAATAACATTACTGTAGCATTTTAATGAAATTAGCATTTTTTTCATTATGAATTGAATTACACAGGGTTATATTGAGAGCTGCAAATCGTTAAAGGGAAATTAAATATCTATCATTTAAAATATAAACAAAATAGAAAGTTAAAATATTTTTAGAAATACGGTATATGTAAGTTGTATCATTATAATAATAAGTAATTTTACCAATGTGAGTTAATGTTTTAAAAATAACATTTAATTGTCTGTTTTAGGCAGCTATATATTGGCTTATTAGACATGCACACTGTACCCCCTGCTTAGTAATGCACGAGCAGCAACTCTGCTGCTTATTAGACATGCACACTGTACTCCCTGCTTAGTAATGCACAAGCAGCAACTGTGCTGTCCTGTTCCCCTCTCTCAGTACAAGGCAATCAGGCTGTTGACTGATTGAATGCAATTCTAGATGGCCTATCGTGTTACTAGCTGTGTTCTCAGCTAAGGTAATGATCAGCCAAACTGACATGCCTGGAGTTCCGCTTTAAACAATTCCATTACCTTTTATATATCTATCCCAGTAGGACTGTTGACTTATCTCTTATCATGGAAACCTGTCACAAATCTGGGCAATTCAAACTGAGCAGGTGGTGAAAAATATATAAGCATTGCAATTTCAGTGAAACCAGCATGTCAAAAGGATCAACAGATCCAAAGAAATAGGCAGTTGAGGTTTATTTTTAGGGTTGAGATTGACTCCACAGCATATATGGCCATATAACTTCAGGCACCTATATGTTTGGATCAGCTAATTGTTTTGACATTTTGCTTTCAACAAACGTAACCTCAAACTATTTTTTTTCTTCTATGCTGAGTTTGAATTATCGAGGATTAAAACAGGTTTACGCTAAGTGCTGAAATTTGATTTTTGATTGATTGCTGCACAAAACTGTGTTGTACTTTGTATACAAAGCCTATGGTCCTTTGAAAAACCTATAACTTGAATACATCCACCATAGACAGTCCTTTCATCTTACAACTGTTCTAAGAGTTAGGTAAATTATATAATAAAATCTCATTATCATTCTAGACCAAGCTGCAGACATGCATTTATTCAGCGCTGGCAGTATTTATCATTCAGCATATTAAATTATACTTTTATGTTTATTTCTGTCCTAGCATTTTAAAAATGAGAAAATCAATCTCCAGCCGAATTATAACTGAATAATTAACAATTACAGAATTGTGCAAAAGGCATAATAAACAGAGGGGCACATAAATAACTGAATGTTGTTACTCAGTTGATTGCTGACTGTTGTTATTTATTGTTTTGGCATAATGATTGCTAGATATGATAATTAAAATGCTGTTTCCCCCGAAGGTTGTGTAGCCAAAGAATAGTCAGCAATACATATCAATGCTAAATTCTCGAAACCAGGTTTATTACTCAAGTAATGAATACAAAGTTCTTAAAGTGGGCCTTTACACCCTTTAACTAAAAATAACATCAGCTTTCAGCTCTGCATGCTGATATGAAATCATCTTACATTCATTAGCTAAACAGACATATTTTTATTTTACTTAAAAAAAATGTTATTCTATTTCCTGGTCTTCTTGGGCATTAATGATGTAATATGCCCAAGCGTCGCATCTGGGAAGGTTACATCACAGTCCATTGCTGGGAAATCTCATCTGTAAACTGCAAAATTTTGCGACATCTCAAAAAAAGGCATTGTTTTCCCGCTGAGATGATGTGCATGGTCACATGTCCTAGTCACATGTGCCAGAGTTCCAGGAAGAAAAGGGAGATGGATTAACCTGACCTTAGTATAAATGGCCACAGTCAGAAGATTGGGGAAGAAAAGAGAAATACGACATGCAAATAATACAAAGCCGGCAATTATCTAGAAGTATGTGTTTGTAGATTGTCATTGCTAAACATTTCTAAAAGGTGTGTTTGTTGTCATTTTAAAGATATGGATAAAGTTCCTCTTTAAATATACTGATGTATATTTAAAGACGTGTGTATATGAGTGTGTTGTAAGTAGCATCTAAAATGATAATCTATACCAGGGGTAGGCAAACCTCGGCTCTCCAGCTGTGCTGAAACTACAAATCCCATCATGCTTCTGCCTGTGGGAGTCATGCCTGTGGCTTGCAATGCCTTATGGAATTTGTAGTTTCAGCACCGCTGGAGAGCCAAGGTTGCCTACCCCGGACCTATACCATTATTTTTTATTTTAAGCTTGACACTAGAGAGAATTGACAGGACTAGGAGTCATACTGTACAGCAAAGTATATTTTGTGGCATTGAGTTGATATTTTTAGAGGATTGTGCTAATAATGGTTACTTGCAGTTATGTGTGAAAGCCAAGCATTGTTAAGTAGACTGCTTTCATTTACCACATCGAAAAATGAAAGATAACCTGTTTAGTTTTTTGTTTTTTTTAAATCTACATTTTTAAGGTGTATAGCAAAGTTCTCTTTGGATATTTGATTATATATTACCATTACTTTTATCAGTTCTTAAGAGTATCCTTTGAAATCAATGGACTTCCTATGCCTGTGTGCAGTACACCAAGAAAATGCCAACAATTATGCCTGCTCTTACTGCACCAGAGCTTGTTCCATTTATTTAATCACTGGACAGCCAATCCCCTCAAATTATTTTTTTTTTGTGCTGAAAGGTAACATAGGATGAGAGTTGTCTAGTGCTGGCTTTTCTTATTCAGCAGCCAAGCATTGCCCAGAATATACTAAAGCATGGAAGCACCCTGCATTAAATGTATATTTGTAAATAAGATATTTTATAGAAATAATCACAAATATATTTAATTATCAGTCTATAAATGTAAAAAATCAAAAAGCATC